GGGTTTTTTTACCCCCTTAAAAATATTTAGGTGGGTGTGATTTCAATCCAAAGATCCCCCCCCGCCGGGTGTTTGGCTGGGCAATTCTGGGAGTTGAAGTCCACCCATCTTAAAGTTGTCAAGGTTGAGAAACACTGCTTTACAGAAATCATTTCTGCATATAGCATTGGGAGAAGTGTCATCACTAGTGTGTTCAGTTCAAAAAGGCTTAGATAAACATTGATACAAAAAATATATGAAGATGAATCTTCAGATTGTTAAAATGTGCTAGTCTGCTTCTCTCTATAAAAGACAGTTTATAAAATCTCTGTTGCTTGATAAAGGTGATTTATTCATTGATTTTCTGGAATAGTCTTCCTCCTAAAGAAAGGGGCTGTATCTGGATCTGGTTGTCTACAATGGCTCACGCAGAAGAACTGGAAACTTAAGTAAGGATGTATTATTAACAGTAACACTCTCAAGTGCAATATATGAGCATTGCCTTGCAAATTCTAATATATAAGCAGATGGCCTTCTGTACTGCTTGCAATGCTTGTTTTCTTGTTCAGACCAGGAACAGTGTTGGAATTCACAGGCATCCACAGGGGAGGAGCGGCATGATGAAATGTGCATCACAACATTGTGGTGCAAACACGTGTCCAATATCACAAAAACGATACATTTATCGTTCTTGCTGTATAGAGTTTATTCAGAACACCTATGAGTAGTTTGCTCTTGAGAGTTTAGCTCAGACTGCTCTGCAACACTTCTGATAGCAATCAGTCACAGGGTAGCAAGCTAACTCTTCCCATTTTTTAGAGATCTGGAAAGGCACAGCTATCAGGCAGCATATAACTGAAACTGGCTGACCTCAACAGTTTAAACTGGGTTAGCACTTGGATGACTGCAGGCCAGTTGAGAAAAATTCCAGAAGAAGACCTTGGCAAACCACTGTCAAGAAAACTGTCTGGATATATCCATGAGCAACAGTAGCTTGGTAAAATTTACATTTTGAAAATAACTTCTCCATAGGAAAAGTTGGTTCTTGAATAGTTATGTGGAACAGGAGTACTTTCTACTGCTACTAAGCAAAAAGCAGTATGCAACTATTAGACGAACAATGCATTCTTTCCTGTGAAATGTAATGCATACTTACTCAGATGGTTATACACAGACGCACATTTACATTTTGTTTTAAAATGGATATTGTATTTTAATCGTGCTTTTAATTATTGTTAGTTATTCTGAGTGCTTTATAGTAGAAAAATCAAAATAAAATTCCCCTATTTTCAGTGGGACTTATTCCCAGGTAAGTATATTCAGAGCTACAATTTTGTATTTATTAATTTGATTTTAAAGATTATTTATTATCTGGTAGAGTGACTAGTTGAAATGAAAGTAACAGAATGCCGAATCATACTATTTACTTCAAGTCAGTCTTGACTCCTGGTGACTAGATGGAGAAGTCTTAGCAGCTATTGAGGCCACATTTTTTGGAAGTGGTTTGCCCTTGCCTTCTTCCTAGGACTGAGAAAGAGTGACTGGCTTCCATGCCTAAGGCAGGACTAGAACTCAGGTCTCCTTGTTCCTAGTCCAGTGCCTAAACCACTAGGCCAAACTGGAAGAGCAATTAGTTAAAGTGAAAGAAACAATGCTGAATCAGGCTTACGATATTATTTGCTTGATTTATAACTTTTCTTTCCTTCAAGAACTCATGGTAGCATATATAGCATTCCTTCCCTGAATTTTTTCTCACAATAAACCTGTGAAATAGATTACACTGAGGGAGAGTGATTGGCCCAGTTATGCACTGAATTTCCATGTCTCAGACTGGATTTAAGTCTGAGTCTCCCTCAGTCTAGTCCAGTGTTTCTCAGCCTTGGGAACTTTAAGATGTGTGGACTTCAACTCCCAGAATTCCCACATCTTTGCAAGGTTGAAAAACACTGGTCTAGTCCAACACATTAAGCACTGTATTGTCCTGGCTCTCATAGCAACTTTTTAAGGTGACTTGCAGCAGTGCCTTCTTAAAATGAGTACCAAACTGAAATGCATCCCTGACAAATTTCTAGCCTCCGCTTGAACACAATCCAGGGAAGGGAAGCCCACCATAAGCCTAGATAACTGGTTCCACGATCCCTCTTACTGTGAGGAAGGTTTTATTTTTTAAAAACATTCAGTTGGGATAGGTTTTACAGCAACTTAAGTCTATCATTCAGCGTCCTGAAACAAGAGGGAACAGATTTTGACCTTCTTCTATGTGAAATCCTTTCAGGAATTTAAATATTGCTACCTCTGTGGGATCTACTCAGTATCTTGCCTCAATCTGATCTCCAAAAGCTGGTGAGCACTCTTTAACTATTATTTACTTGTCAGGTCATGCAGGCCACACTGAAAAATCTTTCCAAACAGCATGTCATGGGTTACATTGTCAAATACTTTACTGAAATCAAGATACGTTATGCCTATAGCATTCCCATAGTCTTCTAAGGAAGTTACCCAATCAAATAGATAAAGTTAGCCTGGGAAGATTTGCTCTTGACAAATCCATGCTACCTTCTGGTAATGATCACACTGTTCTCCATGTGCTTATGGACTGATCTTTTTATTATCTGCACCAGAATCATCCCACAAATTGAGGTCATGGTGACTGTGCTATCGTTTCCTGGTTCCTTTTCTTTCTCCTTTTTAAGAACAGAGGCCACATTTGTCCTCCAGTTGTCTGACACTTCACTGGTTCTCCAGGATTTTTCAAAGATAATACAAAAAGGATTGTTCAGATGATCAGCTACTTCCTTCAACACCTAGAATGCAATTCATCTATTTCTACAGATTTAAACTGATACTATCTATGTAGGTATGTATCTGTCTGTCTGTCCAGCCATCCAATTCAGGCTTCTATCAATCTTAAGCATTTCATTCTGCTTACGACAATTTCCTGGTGAGCAGCTAAGTACACTGTTTCTTTTTTCTTCCTTTTATTTTGAACATACAGGTAGTCCCCAGTTTAAGAACAAGTTCTGTTCCCAAGGTCGTCCTTAAATTGAATTTGTATATAAGTTGGAACAGTATTATTGTATAATACTGTATAAGTTGTATTGTGTAATGAACTTGAACCATTGTGTATTTAACTTGAATTTTGCTACGAGAGGTTCCATTCTTAGCTATATGTCGTCCATAAGCCAGGTGTTCTTAACCCAGGGACTACATCTATTGAAAAAGCCCCCCTCTTTTTTTTCTTTGCATTTTTTGCCAATTTCAACTCATCCTGGGTTTTAGTTCTCTCGACCCCAGCAATACAGTCCAGACTCCCAGCAGTATTCTTCCTCTGTGACTTGGCCATTTGTGTATTGGTTATGTGTACTTTGTTTTTTGATTTTCATTAAAGTTTTTGTGTAGCCTCACTGGCTTTTTCTGCTGTCTTCTATTTTTTTTTCTTTTTTTGGAATTGTTCTCCAGGTAAACTAAACATCCTTTTCAGGAACTTTTCTAGGAGAATCTTTTCCAATTAACATTTTTTA